TTTATATGTGAGAGAGAGAGAGAGAGAGAGAGAGAGAGAGAGAGAGAGAGAGAGAAAGAGAGAGAGAGAGAGAAATTAACATAAAGCTTTTCAAAATACAAAGTTGTTCTATGACTATCATATCTATGAGATAAATTCCCAAAAAAATTCTCTTCATGTACTATTGTATCTTTTATTTCGCATATATCATATTATCATATATTCTAACAATAAATTTGAGACAGTTTTATACTTTCATCACAAAGCCGCAAATATAAATATAAATATTTAATTTAACAATTCATAAGTTACTTAGATTTTTCCTATTCTGCCGTATATTTAGATTGAAGAGATGAAACTTTTTACATAATTATCAAATAATATAATTATTAAATAATATATTACATTTTATAATTTTAATTTTTTTATCACAATATACATAAATACAGATCCGCAACGAAAAATCAACAGAACATATTACGGATAGTCCTCTTGAAAATATAGAAAATATAGAAAATATAGAAAAAGAACTTCCCGCCGAATTAGAGTTATGCGATAAAGAAGAAGTTCCCAATAGAAAAGAACTTCCCGTTAGAGAAGAACTTCCCGCTAGAGAAGAACTTCTCGAAGTGAAAGAATTTCAATTATTACTTGGTCAATCATCAGATAATATTCGTAATTTTTACTCTCCTGATCGTGAATGCGAAATAATTTATGATCTTCTAAAAAAAAGAATAATTGATACATCATAGTATATACAAATTTATTTCTTAATGAGATACTAACTTCAAAAAACAAACTCTGAAGGAAATTATTATTTTATTGATAAACTATGACACGTTGACACATTCTTACATACTGCAATTCAATGTCGCACATATGTACATAAATTTTTGTAAAGCAATATTGTTTTAATTACACGTTAGTCTAATTCCAACGATGTTGTTCTTCTAATCACTCTATTAGTTTGTAACTTCCAATTTTGTACGTACAAATTCCAAAACTTTTGTATTAAACAAATATTGCGATTAATTTGAAAATTCTAGACGCCACTTAGATCTAAAAAATGTTAGAAGAACATATTAATTAAAAAAATTGTTGTTTGTGATATAAATTTCAAACTGCAGACACATATTAATACATATACTTTAATTTTGGAGGATTTTCGAATGGGATAAAAGTTATTGTATTGTATGTGATATTCTTCTAAAATTATTGCGTTCAACCAATAAACAGAATGTAAGACCATATAAGATCCACCCCTTAAGCGGATTCAAGGAATTAATATTACCAACTAAATCATGTAATTTTCGTTTTACAATTACTTTTTTCTTTTTTATAAATTCCAGAATTTTTTATCACAATTAATCTATACGTATTAATATGTGATACGTAAATTATTTGTGTATACATCCTACACTACGACTAATCGTTTTTAGGAGGCCCTTAAGAGGCATAGAATGTATAAACATATAAAACATATTTTTGGTCTATCTAATAAAAACAAAGTATAAGTTTAAATTTAAGATATAAAAATTAACAAAATCTCAAATGAAAACACATTAAATGAACCACTACGCCTGAATCGATTACCAAATGATAATTAAATTTAAGTAAATTGTTAACCTTCTTTGTACAAATATGTCCAGATATATACACTTAAAGTTCTATTAATTATATTGTACGTTAAGCATATAATTAATATTTATATAAATTTTTATATAACTTTATCTTACATAAAAGTTTATTTACATCATTTTTTATGAATATCACATATTTTAAATATATATATAGATATTAAATATACATATACATATAGACATATTTGTGTATAAATAATTGTACATATATATATATACATTATTTAATATCTATACATACTCTATAAGTAATAGAGCTTTTACAACGTTTTCTAAATATTTATTTATTAAGTTAGTTCTTGACATAACGATTAATCACATTATTCATAAAACATGTGCGCCAATTGTGTTGATATTAAGTAGATGATTTGTTTATGACCAAATGTTACTTCTGATCAGTTATTCACTGATAAAGGAGTAATTTTTTTCTTCGATATTTCATAGTTTAGTATCATTAATTTGTATTTATATCTTCATTTTCAAATAGATATCAAAAATAAGTAATTTTCAGAAATTCTTTTTCATTTATTTAATATTAAGAAAAGAACTTTATCTTTTTCAATATACTGAAAAAAAACAAAATATTCCATGAGTCAATTTTAACATGACATTTTATGTATCACTTTATGTATAAATTTTACATATGTTATTTACCTTTTACGAATAATATAAAATAAAGGCACTAGAATACATATACAAAGTAGGCAAGATGGCTTTAGTACTGAAAGGAATTCAAGTATTAGACAAAAAAATAAAAATAATGTAATATGATGCAGTTTTATATAAGAAATATCACGACAAATGAAGCCACTAATTAAGCGACCTAATAAAATAAAAATCTTTGATTGACAATAGAACAACAAATTACTTTTTGACAGATTGTTTAGAAACCTATCAGATAATCAATTATTTAAAAAATTTTTAATATGTCTTTAAATTTAATTAAATTTGGATGAAATTTTGTTTTATACGTAACCAAAATTAATATTTTATCATTTCAATATACTGTATTTTTTATTGTAACGTAGTATATTTCTCATCCGTTTACATACTTTCTAAAACTTTTAGAGTAAAATCTTAATGTGAAGAGTGAAATCTCTTTTAAAGATTAAAATTGTGCCACTCTTTTTTAAGACTGACTCAATTTTCATTCTTTACAGTTAGATTCCATTTCAAAAATTTAGAGATAAAAATATATAATTTTTACCTACCAATTTTATCTATCACTTTCTCGATTGTAATTGTTTTTATATATTATTAACATTCATCAGGTACCATTTGTAGCTAAAACAGTAATTACTATTGCACAATTTTAATATTACCAGCACTACTTACCTTCGCACAATTTTAAAAATACTATAAAAAATTATGATTTATCATGGAAAGTCAGATAATATGATGAATCTTTTTATGGTACTTGATGAAGGTTAAAGACTGTAGCAAAACTGTTTATTCAAACTTAGACAGACGAAGAATAAAAACGTTCATATACAAGAAATATTTTTTTTTATTATTATAATCAATCTTTATACGCCCTTATTTTCAAATGTTTTTAATTAAATGAGAGAAAGCCTATATTCGGTCTCATTTCGAATGTATGTAAAATAATTTATTATATTTATATTGAACATTTGTGTGTGTCGTTAAAAAGGTAAGGTTCAGTATTTCTTTTATTTTATCTCCTGTTATCTTTTTCTTCAAATGTCTTTAATTTTTGAAAGTTCAACTTTTTTTACTTTAAATTGTAGTCTAAAAATTTTGATTACGAGCCGTGTGATAAAGATTAAAAGGCATACAAGAATATTTTGGAATCTATTGGATTAAATAAATTAATGAATGGTCTTAGATTTAACAAGAACTATAAATTTAACAGAACTATAAATATTAATCGATGAATGAAAATCGAAGACATTACAAATTATGTCACAAATAAATTCAAAATGCAAATAACGATTAAAGTAATTGTTAAATTTGTTATCGTACCAAAAAAATGTAATTATGTTAAAACTATAAAATACGAAAATTAGCGCTATTATAATTTGATTACCGACGAGGTAATGATAATTTTATAACAAATAACGTGTTTCTCTACCTGAGATTTACATTCAATACCAGTGGTCCAGTCGCAAGCCTGGAAGACGATTCTATACTAATGCAAATTTGTGAAAAATCGTGTGAGCGGATCTATCGCTGAAATTTCAGTCTTTTTCGTTTATCGGGTGGCTTTGTGTAGTATCTTCTGAACACCGACCGCAACGAAGACTAAGGGAAAAATATTGAGCAAATCTTACATATTTGTAGTATGGACGATTTAAATTAAAAAATAAATATTTTTAACTAAACATGTATTTATGGATCAAAATGTTAATTAACAGAAGAATAGAAGATAGAAAATAAAATTCATTGGATATAGGATTATTTTATTCCAATAAGATTGAGAGGCAATATGCAAACTGTGTAAAAAGATTAACTATGTAAATTAAGAATTCTGAAAAAAAAAATATTTTAATTTAATCAGACTTTAAACTCATAAGGAGAAGTAAATATATTTTAAGTATATTCAACAATTAAGGGAATTCATTAAAGAAAGCTTTATACCGGAGTTTATGCATAATTGAATCTAATTTCTTTATTGCATTTCTAATTTTTTTTATCATTCCTTGGATGAAGGATTTTCGATTCAAATTTAGATAATAATATGATTGATGCGAGCAGCAATGCTAGCAGTGATATAACTATAAAGAAAATGGGACGTCAAAAAGCTTTATCAGCATTTAATTTGGAAGATAATATGAATGGATTAAATGCTTCTAACAAATAATTATGCGCCATACATTTTTTTTAAATAAATGTAAATAGAACTAACAAATTAATATTATTTTTCTAATATAATACATGTGGTATTATGTAAAACTTATTTTATTATTAAGCGTTTTATTAATTATTAGTTATATAATATATAACCCATCAAATGCAAATTAATTTTTTTAATCTTATTATTGTGTCACAATATTTTAAGAATCGTATATAATAAGGCCACACAATATTTTAATAACTGTATATAATCATTATAGCTTCCATAACCATTAATTTGCAAATACACTGTATTAGCACAAATAATGTATTAAATTAAATGTATTGTTTGCATTTCTTTCTCACTAATTACGTACGACAAATAGAAATTTAAAAATATTAAAAAACTTAAAAAATATTAAAAATATTAAAAATGTAAAGGCAAATTTTATTTTTATCTCTTATTCGCATAAATAGTTACTAAAGAAATATAAATTAATTGTATAAAGAAATAAGTAAATAATAAAAAATAGATACCTTGTATATAAATAACAAAAAACAAGTACATTATACATAATTATACAATTTATAAATAATTTTTATCAGTTTCTTTGTATAAATTGAGTTATTTAGAAAAAAAAGATAAAAAGATGTCACTGTTAAAAATTTATTTGTAACCAAATTTGTTTTCTCATTTAGTATCTATCATTTAGTATCATAAATAATACAATTATATTACATTATATGTTATTTGATTATCTCTTATTGTATACAATAATATATAGTATAATGCACTTGTTTTCATAAGTTCTTTTGCAAGCTTGTTTTCATTATTTTACGTTATTAATCCAGATATCGTTTAATTTTTGATAGAGGAATAGGTATATATATTTATATGTTGTGTGTTAATTCCTTTTTTATTTTTTTATTTTTAATATTTTAGGAAATGAGTTTTTTACGCATTAAAGGAGCGGAATACAATAGAGATTTGTAGTTATGTAACCCTACAATATGCTCGTAGTCTTACAATATGTTTTAAAGCAGAGATTTTCTGTTTTGTCTAGCTATCTAAAATTTATTGGAGATCACCCACAACATATGTCAAGGTCGCGATGTTCCTTACAGTGACTATTAAACAGATTTTAAAATAGGGAATTGTCGTTATACAGGGTGTCCCGTAAATTTTAGCCAATCGCTCTTGTGAGATAGAGCGGACTAATCTGATTCGAAAAGTTTTATAGTTAACAAAATATTAATTACTAAAAATTGCCAAATATTGATCTTGAATAATGTTTTACTCAAATATTACTATCAATTTTAAGATTGCAAGAGACAAAAATCATTAATTTTTTTCTCATAGAACGCTAAGAATTTTTTCAGAATTTTTTCAGAACTTTTTAATACTGCATTTTCTTATTTTTACCACATAGAATACTGTATTAAAATTTTTTTTTAAATTCTTAGAATTTTATGAGAAGAAAATAAATTAGACTTAGTTTAGTCCGGTCTATTTACACAAAAGTGATTGGCCAAAACTTACGGGATATCCTGAATAGTAGACATTTTTTGTTAATAACTTTTTAACTAAGAACGACTGCCAGCTAAGACCTATCGGAGGTTTAATTTTTACTCAGGATCATGATTTTGACAACATATGTCAAGATCAAAGTCATCGGCGCAGTGTTCCTTAATCTGGATAATTACTTTATTTTTTAAAATCTTAACTGTTTATATATATATATATATATATATATAAATATATATATATATATATATATATATACTCTATTCAACCTTTAGACTAAAATCTTACTGTAAAGAAATGAAATCTAACTTTAAAAGATTGAAAATTAAGCCACTCTTTTTTAAAACGCTAAACATTTACTCTTTAGAGTGAGATTCTGTTCCAAAGTATTTAAAGAGTATTTTTGCTTACCAATTGTTTTTTCTGTTGTTTCTAAATTTTTATATTTCATTACCCTCAAGTACCTTCAGTAAATATTATCTCAATATTATTTATTATATTTGCGTAGTTTCAAACATACTTTTAAAAAACTTTGTTTCATTAAGGAAAGTTAAATGCCACGAAGAAATTTTTTTTCATACTTGACGAGGATTGAAGATTGTACCAAATTGTTTATATAAACTCAAACAAATAAAGACGAAGAATAAAAATGTTCAGATGCAATATTCGTTATAAAATATCTTTTATTAAAAGAATTGTTTATATGTTCTTACTTTCAAATGTTTCTAACTAAATAAAAGAAAGTCTATATCTTTGATCTTGTTTTTAATTTATTGTTGTTTATATACTTTTTATACTTCCGATCTTTTGAATCTATAATTTTTATTATCACGGGAAAAAATAGATTCGCTGATTCACCATAGCTATAGCTTGTTATGCGAGTTTGTTATCTGTAATTAATAAAATTTAGTGTTTTAATAAAAAAATTATGTCTGCAATCAATTATCAGTATTTATAGGATAAACTTACTTTATTAATATTACAAATAATTTAATTATAATAATAACAAATAATTTAATTATATAACTAATTTATACACTGCGCCTGCGTGCTGCTATACATTTGTCATGTTTTCTTCTATTGTTGGAAGGTATAGTTGGAAGAACATGTGGTTTTTAAACAAGTTTGCTTGTGCATTTATTCATTTATCATTATATCACACATTTAATTATATAATCTGCTGGCTAACTTGAAGAGAAGAAAAAGAAATAGTGGCTGCTGTAATGTGCTTAGTAGGTCGTTTCTATTTCGGTATCTACATTCCTTTTCGTTATAAATCAACGAGTGAATACACATTTGCATTTGCATCAACAAAACGAATATTGAAGTTCACCCAAACTTCAATACGTCCTGTGTTTTGTATGACCAGAGCTTCCATGATGATTTAAAATACTCTATAATCAGATTAAGTTAGATTCTAATTTTGCGACCTGCGCCTCGCGTTCTTGAAGATCTGGCTTAATACGTTTAAAATAATAATACGTTTGTAATAATATTAGGAGTACAAATTAGTTCGGTTCGTTTCTCTAAAGATAGCTCCAGCTGTTGTGAATGGTTCATAGTGACAGCTGATTTTGGCGGTTTCAGAGAGGTTAAACATCTGCTAATAATATTCAGTTTATATCGCTTTGAGTTTCATACAAAAATCTTGATTTTTACTGTGTTTGAAATGTCGAATTTTGTTAACAAGCAGCATTTGCGGGAGGTTTTGATTTTCTGCTTTAATTGAAAGAAAAGTGCGGCTGAAGCTCATCGAATGCTTGTCGAAATTTATGGTGACACTACTCCAACTGATAAATCATGTAGGGAATGGTTTCGACGTTTCAAGGATGGAGATTTCAGCGTTGAAGACAAGCCTCGCTCTGGACAGCCAAAAAAATTCGAAGACAAAGAATTAGAGGCATTACTCGAAGAAGATCAGAGTCAAACGCAAGAGGAGCTTGCAGAATCATTGGGGGTAACTCAACAAGCCGTTTCTGTACGATTGAGAGCCATGGGAATGATTCAAAAACAAGGAAATTGGGTGCCTTATGAATTGAAACCGAAAGACGTTGAAAGGCGATTTTTCACTTGCGAACAGCTGTTTCAAAGACAACAGAGAAAAGGTTTTTTGTATCGGATTGTGATTGGAGATGAGAAGTGGATATTCTACGACAACCCCAAGAAGAAAAAATACTAAGCCCGGTCAATCGTTGTCATCGACTTCAACATCAACACCATGGCCGAACATTTGAAGATCATGCTCTGTATTTGGTAGGACCAAAAAGATCTTGTTTACTATGAACTGCTGAAACCTGGCGATTCCATTACGGGCGATCGATATCGGCTACAATTGATTCGTTTGAACCGTGCATTGCGAGAAAAACGGCCGGAATACGAGCAAAGACATGATAAAATTATTCTTCTTCATGACAACGCTCGGCCTCATGTCGCTAAAGTCGTAAAAAAATATTTGGAAACGCTCAAAATATGGAAACTCAAATGGAATGTTTTACCGCACCTGCCGTATTCTTCAGACATTGCTCCTTACTGGTTGTTCCGAAGGAGCAGCATCGGTTATTTCGCAGAAATCGAAAATTGGCTCCAAAATTGGATCGCCTCCAAAGACGAGTCATTTTTTCGAGATGGAATTCGAAAATTGCCTGAGAGATGGGAAAAAGTAGTAGGCAGCGATGGACAATACTTTAATTGATCCGTTCATTCATTTTGTTTTGAAATAAATGTACAAAAAACGGACTGAACTAATTTGTACTCCCAATAATAATTAAAAAAATTTTTTTTATTTTGATAAAAATGAAAATATATATTTATTAGAATTTGTTGTATTTATTTATTTGAATTTAGCAATTAATTCTTTGTTACAATGAAGATTGTTAATGTAATAAATTTTTTCATCATAGCAATGCGTTGTCTTAGCTACAACATGTTTTGTGTTACAAATTTTAATTTTTATAATAAATTCATTTTGATAGAAAATTATATCTTTGCCATATTAACAAATGTTACTACAAATATGTTTAGTTACAATTGTTATCGGTAATTTAATTCAGCTGCTTAACCTACTTTAACATAAAAAACTGACTGTCCGTATATTATGGCTGTAGATTTGCTATATCAGTGAAGATTTTAGCATAATAGTTTTAGCAAAGCTTTTTTTCCGAAAAATCGTGCGCCCTATCTACTATCACTGAAATATCAGCTTACTTTTTATTTATCAGGTGGCTTCTTTGTAGCTTCCTCATAATACTGGACCGCAGCATATTGCGGTATCGGCGAGAACGAAGAGAAGAATCCAGATGCTGGAGAAACGTTATATTTAGTACAAATGTGTCGGATAAAGATCTCTCGCGAAGAATTCTTAGTATAATGTTATAAGTTCTGAGCTTCGAATAATTCGAATAATTATTTTACATATATATCGTGCATCCAGTCTCTGAAAGTCGAGACATTAAGGCGAGAAAAAAAGATAATACCAGAGAAATGAGATTTCTTAAAGGCGAATG